CAACAACAAGTTCCGCAGACGGGCAGCACGAATGTACGGAGACTGTGTGACAGTGACCAAGGGCCGAATGCAGGACTGGAGTGGATGTCCCGCACAGTGTCTCTGTGCTGGGGGAACAGGCGCAAAACGCCTGTAAGCTGGTGCTGTGCTCCCGGTCCGGTCCAGTCTCCCACGTCCAGTCCCAGCACGCCAGAGACAGTGCGGGTCCTGGCCAATCTCTAATCTGCAGCCGGCCTTGCCGTCCGTCGCTCATCAGTGAGACTCACTGACTGACACGGCTGTCACGATGCCGATAAGGATTTGACCAGTTTTCACTAAGCGTCCAACCAGATTACGCATGACGTAGGCGGGCTTCAGTCGCTCAACATTGATGGTCTCGTGGACAGGTGAACTGGCCTGCTCCGTTACTACCTCGAGCGGTCTCGCGTGCGACTGCCCTTAAGCTTAATCGGACTGCCCTAGGTGCAAAGTCAATCTAATCTTCCTTGGTGGTGGTGGTGACCTCGGGTGGTCATCGACTGGTGGATGGATGAGGACAGGACTGGACTGGAGTGGTGCACAGTCGCAGGAGGCAGCCAATTCGTACAGTGGGGGGCCCTCTGCCTGTCGCTACGGCAGGCACAGGTACCGGCTCTGAAATCACATCGGAAATGGATGGATGACCCCAGCGTTTTTGGAGCGCGAGAATTGCTGCCCCAGAATACGTATGTATGGAGCTGCGGGCCCCTGTCGGCGGTCGCGGTCAATCGGCACCATCGTGGGGCCCAGTAGCGGCCATGTACTCGAAACGTCCTGACAAGCGTGGTGAACGCAGAGTGAGTGAGACACCGTTCACCTGCTCACTACATCCAGTCTCCCAGAGGTGCTGGCGCCTCAGCTGGGAGGCCCTACTGGAATAGGCCGCGCTGTTTTTGGCGCAGCATGCATCCACCGCGTGTACGGCCAGGCCGCACCTTCCATTGAAATACTCTTCCCACCCTCACCCACGAACTTTTCCTTCTCTCTCCCCTTCTTCTTCTTCACCCACGAATGCTGTGCTTGTAGCGACACCTAACTCTCTTCGTGCGGTGCTCGACACTTCCTCCCCCCTTCCCCCCCTCCCCTCTTGTCACTTGTTTTACAGCAGACGAGAAAAAAAAGACGACGCCAGCAACATACTCACTCTCACTTAATACCGATCTTGCTTGGTCTACCAAACCGCATCATGGCTGATCCCAAGGCGACCGGCGCTCCTGCGCTGGATACCAACATCGAGTCTGGCGGCTTCGACGAGAAGCGCGCCCACGATGCCCCCCACCACCACGACTCGGCTGCTCCCGCCGAGGGCGGCGCGATGCCTCCCAAGCCTGCTGCGGATGAGGAGGAAGACGAGGACATGGATGCTCTCATTGAGGATCTCGAGTCCGAAGATGGTCACCAGTTCGAGGAGGAAGAGGAGGACACCAACCCCGGCGGTGGCCGCACCGTCCCCGAGGACATGCTCCAGACCGACTCGCGCGTTGGTCTGACCGAGTCTGAGGTTACCGCTCGTCGCAAGAAGTACGGTCTCAACCAGATGAAGGAGGAGAAGGAGAACCTCCTGCTCAAGTTCCTCGGTTTCTTCATTGGTCCTATCCAGTTCGTCATGGAGGTATGTCACTCTTTTCGCTGTTTACTTCACTCTACCTGCTTGTTTTGCCACATGGCATTCAGGCCCACACATACACACACTTTTTCTTTCCCTCGCACGAAATCAAACACCTTGAAACAGCGCGTTTGTTGGGCCGCCTTTGTTGTGTCCAGCCTTACTTCCTGCGCTGTTTTGGTGCGAGATTGCATTGCGACCCACACGAGCAACTGGCGTGCGCCATTGGCCAATCCGTGGGCTGCCTCTGATTCCTGGCGTTCTCTCCGGGTCTCGATGCATCCACATTTGACGGGCATCGGCACGGTCTTGGCGCTATGTGGTGGATCCTTCGCGGTCGCTCACTTTTTTGCTCGCTTTGCGCTAGCTTTCACGCGCTGGTCGCATCGGCATCGCTTTTCGCTCATTACTCGCCCATTGTTTATACGAACATGCTTGGCTGACAATCTCCACTAGGCTGCCGCTGTCCTCGCTGCCGGTCTCGAGGATTGGGTCGATTTCGGTGTCATTTGCGCTCTGCTCCTGCTCAACGCCTGTGTCGGTTTCTTCCAGGAATACCAGGCCGGCTCCATCGTCGACGAACTCAAGAAGACCCTCGCCCTCAAGGCTGTTGTCCTCCGTGATGGCACTCTCAAGGAGGTCGAGGCCCCCGAAGTCGTTCCCGGTGATATCCTCCAGGTTGAGGAGGGTACCATTATCCCCGCCGATGGTCGCATCGTCACTGAGGATGCCTTCCTCCAGGTTGACCAGTCTGCCCTGACCGGTGAGTCGCTCGCCGTCGACAAGCACAAGGGCGACAACTGCTTCGCCTCCTCCGCCGTCAAGCGTGGTGAGTGCTTCATCGTCATCACCGCCACTGGTGACAACACCTTCGTCGGTCGCGCCGCTGCCCTCGTCTCCCAGTCCTCTGGCGGCACCGGTCACTTCACTGAGGTGCTCAACGGCATTGGTACGATTCTGCTCATCCTCGTCGTCCTCACCCTCCTCATCGTCTGGGTGTCTTCGTTCTACCGCTCCAACGGCATTGTCCAGATCCTCAAGTTCACACTTGGTATTACCATTGTTGGTGTTCCCGTCGGTCTTCCCGCTGTCGTCACCACCACCATGGCTGTCGGTGCCGCCTACCTCGCCAAGAAGCAGGCCATTGTCCAGAAGCTCTCTGCCATCGAGTCCCTCGCTGGCGTCGAGATTCTGTGCTCTGACAAGACCGGTACCCTGACCAAGAACAAGCTCTCCCTGGCTGAGCCCTTCACCGTCGCCGGTGTCGAGCCCGATGACCTGATGCTCACTGCCTGTCTCGCTGCCTCGCGCAAGAAGAAGGGTATCGATGCCATCGACAAGGCCTTCCTGAAGTCCCTCAAGTTCTACCCCCGCGCCAAGTCTGTCCTGTCCAAGTACCAGGTTCTCGAGTTCCACCCCTTCGACCCTGTCTCCAAGAAAGTCCAGGCCGTGGTCCAGTCTCCCCAGGGCGAGCGCATTGTCTGCGTCAAGGGTGCTCCTCTGTTTGTTCTTAAGACCGTCGAGGAGGACCACCCCATCCCCGAGGACATTGACAAGGCCTATAAGAACTGTGTCGCCGAGTTCGCTACCCGTGGTTTCCGTTCGCTCGGTGTCGCCCGCAAGCGTGGTGAGGGTGCCTGGGAGATTCTCGGCATCATGCCCTGCCTCGACCCTCCCCGTCACGACACTGCCCGCACCATCAACGAGGCGAAGAAGCTCGGTCTCTCCATCAAGATGCTTACTGGTGACGCCGTTGGCATTGCCCGTGAGACTTCCCGCCAGCTCGGTCTCGGTACCAACGTCTACAACGCTGAGCGCCTCGGTCTCGGTGGCGGTGGTGACATGCCTGGTTCCGAGGTCTACGACTTCGTCGAGGCTGCCGATGGTTTCGCCGAGGTCTTCCCCCAGCACAAGTACTCCGTCGTCGAGATTCTGCAGCAGCGTGGCTACCTGGTTGCCATGACTGGTGACGGTGTCAACGATGCTCCCTCGCTGAAGAAGGCCGATACTGGTATTGCCGTCGAGGGTTCGTCCGATGCTGCCCGCTCTGCTGCCGATATCGTCTTCCTTGCCCCTGGTCTCGGTGCCATCATCGATGCCCTCAAGACCTCCCGCCAGATCTTCCACCGCATGTACTCATACGTTGTCTACCGTATCGCCCTGTCGCTGCACATGGAGATCTTCCTCGGCCTCTGGATCGCCATCCTCAACCGCTCCCTCAACCTCAACCTCATTGTCTTCATCGCCATTTTCGCCGATATCGCCACCCTGGCCATCGCTTACGACAACGCTCCCTTCTCGCAGACTCCCGTCAAGTGGAACCTGCCCAAGCTCTGGGGCATGTCTGTTCTCCTCGGCTTTGTCCTGGCCGTTGGTTCGTGGGTCTGCTTGACCACCATGTACGTTGGTGGTGAGAACGGCGGTATCACCCAGAACCGTGGTGACATTGACCTGGTTCTCTTCCTCGAGATCTCCCTCACTGAGAACTGGCTGATCTTCATCACCCGTGCCAACGGTCCCTTCTGGACCTCCATCCCCTCGTGGCAGCTCACCGGCGCCATTCTGGCCGTCGACATCCTCGCCACCCTCTTCGCTGTCTTCGGTTGGTTCCGTGGCTACGGCCACCGTGTCAACATCGTCGGTGTCGTCCGTATCTGGATCTTCTCCTTCGGTGTCTTCGCCATCATGGGTGGTCTCTACTACTTCATGCAGGGATCCACCGGCTTCGACAACCTCATGCACGGCAAGTCGCCCAAGCGCAACCAGAAGCAGCGCTCGCTTGAGGACTTTGGTATGCACCCCCCATTCTTCCGCTTTGCAATTGCATCCACTAACATGTCCCAGTCGTCTCTCTCCAGCGTGTCTCGACCCAGCACGAGAAGGCCCAATAGATGGCGCTATACCCCCTCGTGCCGATCACCGGTCGTTTTCCTTTCATTTTGTCCAAATTTTGCATCGTAAAGAATCGTACATTTGGGTGGGAAGCGTCAGGAGTGCCTGAGGTGTAGACGCTTGTCATTTCATCCATGTCTTAGACTATAGAGACACTTAATCCAATACAAAAAAATAATAAACTTGCGTGTCTGGTGATCTTTGCAGCATGTACTCAATACCCGAAGGCAAGGCGTTGCAGAGACTGAGATGGCTCGCATTCGCAAGGTACTACCTGGAATCAGGCCCGTCCCGTCGTTGTCACGTGATGGGCTCATGTGACTTCAGGTCGCTCGTTGAAATAAATCTTGTAGTGCACAACCACACAATCACATCAATCTACTTTGCTCGAATTGACATCCTTTTACGGCCTTTAAAAGCGAATGGTGCATCTTCTTATCTACAGGCCATTGTATTCCTGACTATTTCTGAGTTATCTGACAGGATGCCCATGCAAATACCAGGGTACTACTTTGGTCAGTCTCCATCCTCTTGATTGCGTCTTTCTCTAACCAGGACGTAGATCCCGAGAAGAAGAAATACTTCAAGATTGAGAAGAACCACACGGCGCCCAGCTCCGTGGCATGGTCGACTGACGCCGTCAAGCGCCGCAAGACGCAAGACCAGATCTCCAAGGCGGCCAGGAAGCGCACCCACGAGACGAGGCGGAATGTGCAGCGATGTCCGTACTTTGAGAATCCCCTCTACGGCGTGTTCGAGAGGGAGCTGAGTGGGCCGCATGGATTTAGGGCAAGAGACGTGCGCCCGGGGATATGGGCTCGTGGGTTGCTCCCAGCTAGGAAGACGACGTTTGGCCGCGAGCGAGGGGATGGCGCAGGCGTGGAGTCCTTTTGCGTTGCTGGGTCTGCGGGGAAGAGAGTGCTTTATGCATGTGAGTTTCTTTCGTTGGCCATCGTTGAGATGGGGAGAGAGTGGGATCTGTGGGCTGACGGAACATAGCAACCTTGGAGACGGAGCTTGCGGCCGTGCGTGTCGATGAACGGCATCAAGCAAGGTTACAACGAGAACAAGTCCCGACGCCGGGCGTGTCCAAGGTTCGATATCACGAGGCCTCGGGGCGGATGCTGGTCGCCCCGGCGATGGGGATGGATCAGTGCTCGCTGACGACGTTTGTGCCGTCGAGAGATGCCAGGGGGAGCTGGTTGCCAGGGGAGAGTGAGTGGAATCGTCTTTTTGGAGTACCTTAGCAGATTTGACTGACCACGGTATTAGCGCCTTCGTACCAGCAGCTCTCGATGCGGCATCGAGTGTTGAGCGAGTGGTGCACCAATGCTTTGATGCCCTCGTCCCTAGACGGCACGCTTGCCTTCCTCGGCACAAACCAAGGCGTCGTACAGGTTTCCGTGCAAGACAGCATGCGCATCCTGTCAGGTAAAGAAGGAGAGCAGGTGTCACCCAAAGACGTGTACGCCCTGGACGCCCAGAAAGACAGACCGAACATTGTGTTCGCTGGCGGACGCAAGGCCAAGCTGTGGATGACGGACCTGCGCGAGGGCGGCTGGCAGGCTATACGGATACCCAGTGCGGTGGCCAAGGTACGCAGCCTGAACGAGCATCAAGTCCTAGTGTCGGGGCTCAAGTCCACCCTAGCGGTGTATGACCTTCGCTTCAGCAGGCGAGACTGGCCGCTGGTGCGGATGGAGGACTTTAGGAACGAGGTGCACCTGGACGTGGGCATGGACGTCTCGACGGAGCTGGGCGTCGTCGCTGCGTCGCATGGTGCGGGTCTGGGACTGTACTCGTTGGACAGCGGCAAGAGAGTCAAGTGTCCTGCGCTCGACAGCGTGACTCTACGCGCGAAAGAGATTGCGTTTCACGACGATGAGCTCTGGTTTGGGATGGGTATGGCTGTTCGGTCCTACACGTACAATAGTCTTAGCGGGCCTGAGAACGAAGCTTAATCAAGATCATATATGCCAGCCAAGCATCAATCAACCATTGTTCTGTAAATTGCAGTTGACATATAAATCCAGAACGCCGACTGCCCACCCCCTATGTAAGATGTAGACCCCTTTCCCTTTCCCCTTCGACCGTGCCCAGCCGCGTGGAGATATGTACAGTATTCGTTACAGATCTGGCCCCCTTTCACTGGCGCGTCTTAGCCCCTTTGACCGAGTAGTCAATCCTGCAGGTCTCGATCAATCCCGGAAAGGCCTTGGCAAACGGCTCTCCCAGCGACCAGTTGTCCAGGTTCCTCAGATGGCGTTCGAACACAGGGTTAACCATGAGTTCCTCGCTGTCCGGGTTCTGCAGGAGGGTGTCCGTCTCCTCGTATCCCCAGCCTACGCGTATCGTTGTCGTGAAAGGGATAAAGAAGTTTTCGAAATGATAGTCGTGCGGCGTGTACACCTTGGCCAGCTTCTCTCGCATGGCCGGCCAGGGCAGATGATCGATCCACGCGGGATGCGCGTACTGCAGCTGCGCAGGCTGTGGCCGGACCCAGTGTGGGAGGCGGTCAAAGTTCTCCTGCGTCGGCGAGATCTGCCACCGCATGAGGAGGAACATGATGTAGAGGACACCGACTCTCTCGGGCAACGTGGATATGTCGGGGAACGTGGAGAGTATGTCCGTGAAGACCTTGGACAGGGGATGGGACATTGCGCTGTGTGCTGGGTTGAGCAAGGACGAGACGGACGGGTACCGAGGGCCGACGACCTCTTGAGCAGGCAACCCCTCGGCCGCCCTCTGTCTCCGTTCCCCCAAGAAGTCGAGCAGGATCGAGTCGAGCGGGCACGTGGGCCCGCAATTCTTGATCTGCATCGACCACGGCGGCGTCATTGCGCTTTGAGAAGCGTCACTCACCGCTGGTCGATGCGCATGCGTTGTGCTCGTCGATGGTGCGCCGACGCTCGACTCTCGAGACTTGGACGGTTCCCAGAGTTGAGTACCAGCACTCGCGCCTCGTCCTCGGAGGGCCTGATCATTCCGCACGTCCGTCCAGTCGTGTTTCATGGGGATATGCTGCCACCGCGCCGTGTCCTGCGCCCCGTTCACGCCCGTCTGGATCTTGGGCGGCCGTTGGTTCTGACCCAGGAGGAAGTCGAGCCCCAGGCGCTCGGGCCCCATGTCGAGGCCATGGCGCATGTCGTGCCTCTGCTGCTGTAGTTGCACCTTGGCCTGCTCGCTCTGGTGCGCCTGCGCCTGCCACGAGTGAAGCTCTGCGCTGCCAGACGACGTCGTGCTCGCGGGCGTGGTGGCATGCACAGGTCCTGGAGGAGGTGCCGGCGAGGCATACGGGCGTGGGAGTTCTGCAGGTCCGATGAGACCCTGAAGATCGTGGGCGATACTGCGCAGGCGGGCCTTCATCTCGACATTCTCCTTCTCGACGGCCTCTTTGGCCCTCTTCATCGCCATGAGTTCCTGGTATGGCTGCTGACTCTGCAACTCCTGGATCTGCCGTTCAAGGGTCTCGATCTGCTCCTTTGTCCTGCGTCTGATGTTCCGCTGGGCCTCACGGTCTGTGATTGCTTGTCAGTCCAGTTCCGTTGCTCAGTAAGTGAGCGAAGGGCCACTCACCATTTTCTCTCTTCTTGGCCAATTGTTCTGGCGTCAGATTGGCCACACCACGGCTCCCCGCACCGGCCGTGGTCTTCTTCTTCTTGCTGGCGGCATCGCCAGAGGGAGGTGGTGAGTGATCACGCTTGCTGCTGACGACCGAATCACCACCCGGGCTGGGCGCAGCCAGCACATCCTCGGGCCCTGGGGCCATGACCTGCCCTTGCTTGCCTTTTGTTTATCCGGGGAGGACAGATAGGGAGATAGATAACGACAGAGCAGGGTACGGATACGTACTCCAGTCGCGACGCCGGTAGGCTGGTTCTTGTGGGCGGGAACCCACTCTGCTTCAGATAGAGATCAATCAATCAATCAGCGGGTACGTTTTCTCAACTGCTACCGCACTAGTGGTCTGCGCCTAGTATCTCGCTCGACGCTCACAGCGCTCGAGGGGGGAAAACACCTCCAATTGCCAATCAACGCCCTCCCGTCAGCAGCAAAAGAATGCAACGTCCCGGGGTTGGCTGGCGGTGGGTGGCCCAGGTGCACGCGCGCAAGTAGGCAGGCAGATAGAGTAGGCCAAGCAAGCGACTGGAGGCTTCGAGTGGGACGGACGTCGTTCAATGGGATCGGCCAGGCCAGGACAGAAGAGTGGGAAAAATCAAAGTGGACGCGCTCGCGCGCATTGGAATGATTCAGAGCATTTGGGTCGCAACAGGGAGGACCGAGTCATGCGGGAGGCGGGGGGGTCCGTGCGGCCTGCCTGTTGCCTGGGCCTGGGCCTGGCCCTGGGGTTGCACCTGCCCGCCGTTTCCGTTGGGATGACAGGTCACATGACTCCCTGATTGACTGACGATACATGGACATTGACATTGACATCAAGACACAGAGTAACATTGGCTGGAATGAGCTGCATTACTTCGAGCTTGGTCTACATATGTTTCTGTCCGTCTTCCATGATTCCATCGAGACTGGACTGGCATCCCATCTCCTTTCTCCCCACGCCAGGTCTCATGGGATATCAACAGCCGACGCCCGCGCCAGCGCCTCGTGCAGGTGCGGCGGGAACCGGTACTTGAGCTGGCTCGTGTACGTCGTCAAGTCGAGCGTAATCTGCCGCAGGTGCTCGAGGATCTGCCGCTTGGTGCCCTCGTTCCCGCTGTACTGTCCGTCCCGGGACAGGGTCGCGCGCTGGCGGGTGCAGCACGCAATCGTCCAGAGCAGCAGGTTGGGCACATTGATGGCCACCGGCTGCGGGAGGCCGGTGAACTTGGCGGCGTAGGCGCGGATGGCGCTCGGGTCGCCCCGGGCCTGGAGAGGGAGGATCTCGAGTTCGCGGATCGCCTGTGTCTCTGTGTCAGTCTCCTGCCGCGGTGAGTCAGGGGGGAAGAAAAGAAAACTCACATCCAGACAGTTGGCCCACTGTCCCTGCTCCATGCCTGTCTTGATCGTGCTCATCCGCAAGAGCACGTGGCACGCCTCTCTCGTTGGGCCCATGATCTTGTTCGAGTACATGGCATCCTGATCGTAGATTTGCATCATCGTCCTCGCCAGCTCGACGGGGTCGTCAATGGCCGCGAGACTCAGGCTGCTGCCGGGCGGTGCCTCCGCGTCGCCCACAGCGCGTGGCTTGACGGGCATGAGACGCATGGGATCCTCGCCAATCTCCTGCGCAATCGCCTCGCTCAGTGCACGACTGACAATAGCCACGACGGTATCGTATTCGCCCGCCAGGTGGTAGAGCAGCACTGCGTCCGTCGTCCGGCCGTTCTCATCCGCAAAGCTGGCCGCCTGCAGCGTGACCGTGTTGACAAACTGCTCCTCGCCGTCAATGTCGATGAGTCGTCCCCGTTCCTCAATGACGCCGCGGATGCGGCGACCGTCTGGTCGAATGTCGGCAATGAGCTTGCTGTACTCCCTCGTCTCGAGAACGAGCTCGCGCAACGACTCGTGGCAGAGCTCCGAGTGTCGTCGCCCCGCCTCACCACCGAGATCGCTGTTCAGGCAGATGAGCGTGAGGTAGTCCACCGCAGAGACCACGTCGGCGGCTCGGAAGTCACGCGTGTAGTACCCGAGCATCCGGCCAAAATTGATCTGCGGCAGGTTCTTGGTGCTGTACGTCCTCAAGTCGTTGGACTCGGACATGGCGTCGCTGGGCCGCAGCAGTCCATAGAACGCCAGCGCGAGACCAAAGTGGACCGCGTCCACGTACGAGAAGAGGTACAGGTAGGCGACCGCATCCTCAAACAGGCCGCAGAGCAGCTGGAGGTAAAAGTACATGCCAAAGCTGCCGTTATTGTTCTCCCCGGGCCCCTTGGGGAAGTGTTTCTGGCCAATCTCGCGGATCGTCGTCTGCACCTCGGCCAGGCCGTACGACTCGCCCGCCATCTCGATGGTCTTGTCCGTCTCGCGCGCCAGGTTGAACTGCAGCCAGATCCAGTCGTTGATGTCCGTGTTCAGACCGTCGAGGTTGCGGTCGCTCAGGTCGACACGGCCGACCACCTTGTAGCACGCCAGACGGAAGGGATCCACCATGTCCTTGTTCTTGAGCAGGTTGGCGTAGTGCTTCGCGCAGTCCACCGCGGCCTTCTTGCTGCTGAGTCGCCTGTCCTCACTCGTGGCGTAGCTGGCCACGAACAGCGGGAACCCTAGGTCTAGACTCTTAAACATCTCCCAGTTGTTCCTAAAGTACTCGGACGCTTGCTTGACGTGGCCGGAGCGGAGTAGGTAGAAGGCCACCGCCCAGACGTACTCTCGCTCCATGTGGCCCCCTTCTTGCTTGACCTCCATGGAGGTGGGCTCGACGCCGTCCGGCACGAGGTCCTTTCTCGCCGCCCGGAGACGAACGTACGCCTTGATCTTGCTGGTGATGGTGGGCCTACCTCCCAGCTTTGCCTCATGCGGATGCTTTGCAATGAGAGCCTCCACCTCGCGCAAGAATTGCGTCTCCAAGAACCGATTGGCGCCCTTGAGGATCTGCTTCCTCATGTGGACCGCGTTTTGCGAGTTGGTGTCGGGGTCCAGGTACCGCTCCGCGTACTGGCGCTCCTTGGCCGTGGCGTTGTTCACAAACGTCGCCGCGTTGGGGATCTCGTTGACAATCTCCGTCATGGCGAGGTACGCTTCGTGGACATGCGCAGCATGCGACTCGGTGGACTTCCTCGTCACGTCGGCCAGCTCAGCCAGGATGGGGAATGGCCGATCCGAGAGACGACAGGCGTTGAGGTTGCGCACCTTCTCGGCGAGCTTTGCCTGCTTGTCACGGGTGGCCCGATCGTCCATGGCACGGGTGGCCGAAGGACCTGCGTCGGCGACGGACCTCTCCACGTCCGCAAAGCCAGCCGTATGCGTTCCAATCCGGCTGGGGGCGCCGATGACGGAGCGTGCAGCCGACTTGCCAAACATACTGCTCCTCCCGGCCTTGGACATCCCACCTGGGCCCTTGCTACGCCGTGACGATCGCCCAAAGCCAGCCTGTGACTCGCGGCTGGCGCCACTGTCCTCTCGCGGCGTGATCCCAAAGTGTTCATAGATGCGCTTCCTCTGCGCCTCCCACTCCATCGTCACGTTATCCTCAAGAAAGTTGTCAAAGTCCCTGGCAGAGCGCTCCAGCCCATCGGCGATCATGTCGAGCGTGGTCTTGGTCTGCAGGTTCGAAAGGTATGTCTCGACATCGACCTCGCTTGGGGCGTGAGCGGCACGATCCACCGGCGCGCCACTCTTGACGTTCAGCCCACTGAGGGCCGCGCGCGGATCGACGCCCGAGCCGGCGAGCAGATAGTGCGCCTTGCCGTCGAGGGTTCGCTCGCTGGGTTTCGACTGGAGTTTGCGCAGGCGATGACGCAGGTCGCCCAGGCCGAGCTCGAGGCTGGGGAGGTCCTCCATGTTGCTCTTGCCCTCACCACCTGCCTTCTGGCTCTTGGCGAGGAGGCTGTCAAAGTAGGCACCCGCAGGCTGCGGCTCGCCACCGCCCGATACCATTGTCGAAGCGCGGAGGCCATTAGACGGCTGCTGGGACTGGTTGAGGCTTGAGAAGGTGTTGCTCTGGTTGCTCGGTTGCGCCATGGACGAGCCCAAGGTGGTGTTGTTATTAGTCGAGGCGCCAAAGAGGCTCATCGTCGGCTGTGATGATGGTTGTTGGGTTTGTGTCGATTGACCAAAGAGACTGGGTGTCTGTGGGTTTTGCGCAGTCTGACCAAACAGACCGGTCGAGCCTTGGTTCTGGTTCTGGCTCTGGTTCTGGCTCTGGGAATTCAGAAAGTTGGAGCGTGGAAGCCCAGTGTTAGCCTGCGTGTTGACCAGCGTCTGACTGGATCCAAAGAGGCTTCCTCCAGTGCTGCTTGCTGGCGCTGTGTTGCTCGTGGCATTGCCGCCAAAGAGACCACCACCGCCGGTGGCCGGTTTGTTCTGGTTGGCACCGCCAAAGGGACCTCCTCCTCCGGAATTGGACGTCGAGCCGAACATGATGGGCGGCTGTGTCGTCTCGTCGAGGAGACGTCGATGGAAGGAAGGTGAAAGCGAGCGATGGCAGGCGTCGCGGTCGCGATCAAATGTTCATGGTCAACGGAGCGCGTTTGCTGAAAGCTTTGGGTGGAAATTTGGAGGTGGTTTGTTTGCTAGAGCTGCTGGCCAATCAGAGCGGGGCACTGCATTCACGTCCCAGCAACCACTGGAAAGAATTCAAGGCTTTGCTTGTGGAATCACTTCTTTTTAGATCACCAACATTTAATTAGACGCATAGACTTTAGTTTGCTCTCATTCTATCAAACTCACAATCGTCATCATGTATTACATTATATATTTTCTACGCTTGCTCCCGCCGCATCATTCAGCTTGAGGCGCCTCGACCTCCCAGCTACCGACAGCCTTGTCGATCTTGCTGCGGAAGGCCTGCTGGCTGTTGCACAGCTCGAGGAAGACCTCGTACTTGGCATCAAACAGAGCCTTCTCCTTCTCGTTCCGACCGGGCTCGACGATGCGACCCGTCTTGCTCATGCGATCCATGATGCTCCACAGCGTCTCAGACTCAGCACCAGGCACGCTCAGGGCCCAGGCGTGGCTGGCCGCCTTGGCACCAAGCATGGCCGCGCCGTGAACAACGGCGGCGTGGACGTAGCGAGGGATCAGGACGGGCATCTGGCAGATGGTGGAGATGAGATCCATCAGGATGGGGTTCTGGCATTGCGAGCCCGACATGAAGATGGACGAGATCTGGTGGCCGGCCTTGTTCATCTGCTCAATGATCTGGCGCGTCTGCATGGCGATGAACTCCATGGTGGCATAGTACCACATGGCCATGTTGTCGGTGCTCTTGTCGCTGTCGATGCCGATCATGGCGCCACGCATGCTCGCGTCCGAGATGGGGGAGCGGTTGCCCCAAAAGTCACCGTAGAAGAAGTAGTGGCGCGCCATGTACGAGATGGTGGGCGCCCCCCTCTGCTCGCGCATGTACTCGAGGTGAGAGTTCATAAAGTCGTAGAGGTGCTTGTCCTCGGCGCGCGCGAGAGCGAGGGTCTCGCTGTAGGCGGGGTGGATGTCGAGCACGTGGCGCAGCAGTTCACCCGTCGCCGACTGACCTCCCTCGGCCATCCAGAACTCGGGCAGGACCACGTCTCGGTAAGGGCCCCAGACACCGGGGACAAACACGGGGTTCCTCGACATGGCCAAGTGGCAGGTGGAGGTGCCAGCAACGGCCGCCAAGCGCGAGAAGGCCTGGGAGACGTCGTTGTGGGGTTGATCAGGGTTGAGCTCATCGCTGGTCAGCTTGACCTTGGCGCCGACAGTACCGACCCATCCAGCGTAGGCGTCGATGACACCGCTGCCCACGGGGATACCCACGGGCAAACCGAGCTGAAGTGCGGCAGTGCGGCAAAGCCCGCCAATATGGTCACCAGCACTGGCATACTTGCCGTTCTAGAGAATGAAAGTCAGCATGGTTATCTGGGTTGGAGGAACTCGGACGCAACGTACCACGCCGTGCACACCGCCCATGCGCTTAAAGTTGTCCTGGGCCAAGTCGCCCAGACCAATCTCCTCGAAAAAGTCCTCCTGCCAGCCCTTCTCGCTGCCCTCGACACCGACGGGCACGTACCCTTGCTTGCAGACGGTGCTGCAGAAGCTGCGCACCTCGTTGCCGGTGGCCAGGTGGGTGAGCGCATCCGTCAAGTCGTAGAACTTGCACTTCTCAAAGAGCTCGGGGGGCATGTTGTTCTTGAGCCACAGGGCCTTGGGGATCTCCATCTCGATGCTCATCTTGCCGCCGACGTACTTGAGCAGCTTGTGGTTGGTGGCGTTGATCTTGTCCGTCTCCTCCTCGGGGCGGTGGTCGAGCCAGAGGATGACGTTGCGGTCCTCGCCATCGTTCCAGAAATCGGGCCCGGTCACGGTGACAGGCTCGTCCGTGTCTGTGTGGAAAACGGCGAGCGAGCAGGTGGCGTCAAAGCCGATGCCCTTGATCGAGTCGGGGTCAATGGCCGCCTCGCCCACGACGCGGCGGACACACTGGCAGATGCAGTGCCAGATATCTGTGGTGGACTGTTCGTAGTAACCGACTTCGGGCTTCCAGAGCTTGATGTCCTCGGCCGCCAGTGCCTTGATGTCGCCAGCCTCGTCGATGATGCAAGCGCGGGCGGAGCCGGTACCGACGTCGATACCGATGTAGTGGTCGAGGACATTGGGCGGCCTGTTCATTGGAGCGATTGGTTAGCACAAAAGCACTTTGAAGTAATGGGCGCTGGGGGGTTGTGAAGAGGGATACTCACTCCAATGGCTTGATGGGCTTGTTATACTCGTACATGCTGCCCTGGCGACGAGGCGTCCGGACACCACCGGTCTCGTACTGGCTGCCCTGACGACGCGGCGTCCGGATGCCAGGCGAGTCGATCTGGCTGCCCTGGCGGCGAGGAGTAGGAACTCCGGAGGACATGTTGAAGATGGGGGTTATTGCGTAAGGCAGTTGACAGTCTGTGGTCCGTGGAGGGACAGCGGTCTCTTGGTCCGCGGGAAGTGATAAGACAGAAGCAAGAGGGTGGTGTGTGTAGAAGATGGGATGGATGGGCAGGGACGTTGAGGAGCAGGAGATCGAGCTGGACATTCCAAGTCAATGAGGAAGCAGTCTGGAGGCAACAAAGGTAACCAGCCAACCAACCCCCACTTCCACATCATACCCCACCACTACCTTACCCACCATTGCCTTTGCTGGCTTCAGGGCCCAGGGGGGCTGCGTGCAGGGCGCGATCCCCTATACCCCACCGTTTCCCCCACTCCACTCGATCCGAGTCTCCCACCGTCTCCGGACAGATGTTTTCGAAAGCTCAGCAACTTGCTGAGCGTAGGGACGAGAAAGGTGGTCAATGGGTCGCAGACTCGTAGTCACCTTCGATACCATCAACAGGCGCTTTTCCTTTGGCAACTTCACGGCCCCCCATATCGATGCAGGTTGACCGTTGGCCAGCCACTCTCGCCCCGTGCTTGCCACAGCGTCTAGATGTCGCCTCCACCATTGCCCCCATGCATACATCTCAGCAAAGAGCTGCCGTGGACACAACTCAGCATGTCCGAATAACTGTGCTAAAAGTCGAGGTTGTGTCTTACAGCCGGCCTGTTGGAGCTGGACATTCATCGAACAATTAGGTTTGACCGTCTGCATGTGCGCAGGGACGCATCCTCTAGTCCCCGAGAATCCAAAACCATAGAAACAGGCTACCCACTGGCCATCAGGCCTCGGATACGAATATCAATGACACACGAGAGGCTCGGTACGCTCGCGTAGTCGAGTGGGTTGGCTGATGCTGATACCACCCGTCGCATACTTCACATCGCAGCCCACCTCTGAATCCTGATGCTGCTCGGATCAGACCGAGTAGACTCGTGTAAAAGTGGCGAGCTGCGGCGCGCCCAGAGGCCCGGGGGGCAAAGCTCCCCGCTGCCAGCCCGCAGGGGTAGTGCGGAGTAGTGTCCGTCCACTTGCTTGGCCACAACTTCATCTACCGTGTTCAACGGTCGGCAAGTGACTACACGGCAGTGATCATGGTCTGTGCAGACGGTGATAACTTTACGTTCATCCATAAGGTAGCAAATAGGCGAGACCAGCTTCAGCAAGTCTAAGCTGACATGAAGCAAGAGCTCGGGTCGCTCCTGCCCCGAGGGGAGATTGGCCGTTTGCTGGATGACTTGCGGACGCTAAACCAGAACAAGCTTCACCTCTGGAAACGCCCGAAACCACCACGCCAGCCATCTCACGATCTTTCCTCGACATCTCCATGTCCACCCAGTACGTCGCACCACACAAGCTGCCAGCCCCTCTAGTCTTTGGCAAAAAAAAAATCCTCCGCATCGTGCTGCTGCCTGTCCCGTGCGGGGGTCTCGACCGCACGGCAGCGCAGAATTCGACATTCCACAACCTTCACCACCACCAATTTGTTGGGAGTATCAAACGTTCACCGTTTTCGGTATGCATGCATGGCAATTCATTTCATCAATTGACTGGCTCGCTTGTTTGCTTGTTGTTTGCAGTGGCGAAACTGGACAGACCGCCCTTTCGCCACGACACCATCATCGTAAACACCAATTCCCATGGTGAGGAAAGAGAAGAGAGGATTCCCCATGACAAGAAAAACATTGATGACCACGCGCCGTCCTCAGTTGTCCACCCTGTCATCGTCGTCTTCGCCCGTCTGGCCCTCGATGAGAATGACGACTGTCAACGTCGCGGCGTACGCCTCACGAATAGCGCACGACATGCTGCCTTCACGTTAGCACCACTTCTCCCCTAGACTTTTTCGGCAAAAACTCACCACGTCCGCCGCACGTCGGCCACAACCGCACTGAGCCCCCAGTGGGCACACCATGCCCTCGCCAGAACCTCATTGTCTTGGACGCCCAGGGCTTGCACAGCGAGCACCTTCTCCTCGTCCTCGATGCTGCGCTTCGCGGCGTTGGGTCTGTACACGCCGCCCCAGTCCTGGATCTCCAGAATGTCCTCCACGAAGACCTTGTGATATGCATAGTCGAAGAAGAGAGGATGCGGGCCGTCGCTGCAGGGACAGGCCGACACAAAGGAGACGTCGTACATGAGCCGCAGAGGCCAGGACGTACCGTCAATCGCAAACTGGAGCGTCGCGTCAAACGTGCGAGGGCCATTGAGTCGCTCGCCCTCCCCGACAGCGGTCGCCGCCGCGCGCAGGCCCAGGGTTTCGATGCGCACAATGTCAATGTCCTCCGCATCCACGCGGTCCAGCTGGAATTCCTGCACAGGGTATACCTCGGCCTCTGGACCGAGTGGTTCGGAGCGCTCCTGCATGCTCTCGATATCCTCCACCCGCGGCCTCTGGCGTGGTTTCCTCGTGCGGATACGCGCAATCTGGGAGCGCGCAAGGTCAGGCGTTGGCCGTGCTGGGCCGACCCATCCCGCGAGGGAGTGACACGTGGGCGCGAGGACTTTGCCCACGATGCAGCTCGCTGACCAGTACGTGTAGCTACTGCGGTACTGGAACCCGCAGTTCGGATGCGTGTGTGTGAGCAGAGCGAGCTCGTCCGTGGCGGGATCCGGGTCCAGGTCGAGGAGCGTATTCATGATCAAGAAGGGAAAGGTAGGCTGCGTGCACGTCAGTCTCATCTCGTTACAAGGAAGAGCGCAAGACCTACGCCTGGCATGACAAGACCGCTAAAGAAGGCATATGCGTCCGAGCTGATGTCGTCGAGGGCAAATTCCTTATCCTTCCTCCTCAACGTCTCCAGAGTCTCGTGCAGGTTCGGCCACTTCATCGTCTGCGCGAACCGTTTCAGCAGCCTGACTTGCCGTTTCTTAAGTTTGTAGCGCAACTGCACCTCGCCCGGTGTCCTGCCCGCCTGTTCGACACGCACATTCTCCTTCCACCGCCGCGCCAGCGCTAGATCCCACAGGATGACGGGCGGCATCTGCGCCAGCAGTTTCTCCTTGGCCCACTCGCCGTGCTGGTCGCTCTGTATCCGCATGTCCAGCTCCAAGCTCAAGAGGACCTGGTGGAAGAACTTTCTGTACGTCTCCTCGAATCCATCTTGCCCGTTGTCGAAGATGTACCGAGTCACGACATGATTCCGCGGATTGCTCAGGTCGATCCAGTCCGGGCGCGAGAGGACAAGGATAAGGTCCGTAATCTGTTTATCCAGCGACTTGTGCGGGTGCAGGATGCGGTCCGGATCGCGGAGTATCCTCCTGTATAGAATCTTGTAGAGCAGGTCTGGGTCGTCGTCTTCCAGCCCGGCGCGCAGCTCTCGCAGCCGTTCAAAGATCTTGTGCAGATCCATGGGTCTTGGATCGATGCCCGAATCTCGTAGTGCCATCGTAGGCGGCAGGGCGCTGGCCACGCACATCCACTGATTCAAGGTGATGGTGCCCCCCAAGTACCCGTAGTGGAACGCATAGCTTGGCTGTTCCAGCGTCTCCCACGCAAACTGTGCCTTCTCCTTGCCCTGCAATCGTAGAGACATGAGCTGTGTCATGGAATCGTGGTCATCCGCGCCGTCCCTTCCCGCATCTCGATTGCCACTCGTCGTCGTGTACAGGGCGTAGTATCGCTCCGGCATGTGTGGTATGGCTCTCTTGTGGCCCTTGAATATCGGCGCACCGCGCACGATCCAAGCGGTGGCCTGGCGCGGGGTGAGATCCTCGTGCTCTGGCACGCCTGCGGGCGGCCATGTCGTGAGCGGCGCAGGCGACGGTGTCCGGTGTCCATTCTCGACCGCCGGTCGCTTTCCTCGACTCTTCCTTGAGCGCGGGGCCTCATTCTCCTGCCTCGGCTCAGCTGCCTGGAATTCGTGCTGTCCATGATGCTGCTCCCGCGGCTGTGCGGTCGCACGTCGCGATGGTCCTGCGAGAGGCTCATGCGTGAAAGACCGCCGTCGCTCCCTTCGCGGTGGTGGATCGCTGATCCGTCTGGGCTCCCTCAGCGGCTGTTTTCCTCGTCAGCACCCGTCGCTTGGCGCGAAAAGGCTTAAAGTAGTGAAGAAAGTAGGCAAGCCGACTCACCTGTCGTGGGGGCTTGGTGCTCGGCGTGCTCACCCTCCGCAATAGCCCACCCCAGAAGCTCTTCTTCTTCTCATCGGCGGGTGTGGGTGTCAAGGGCCCAGCAGGCGGTGTCTGGCTCGGCAGAGAAGATGCCTCCATCTGTGCGGCGAGACGGGGGTACCAATCTGATTACTTTCTTATCTCTCTTCTCATCAGCAAGCGACGCCCATGACGTCTCCTGATTTGTTCCGCATCCAAGTCTCTTTTTGTTCCGTCGCAAACAGGGCAGAAGGTGAGGTGTGTGAGGTTGCGAGGGGCTGCTCTGGGATAAAACAGAAGTCTGCCACCCCTCAAAGACGAGGCGATCTGGCAATATATGGTAGCACAGAGCTAATCAAGGGCGCGTACGTCGTGACTAGAATGGGTTCCCTTGCAGTGGGACGAGGCTGCCCTTGGTGACTGTGACACCGACTTGTTGGCGGAGCCCTTGGCCCTTGGCGGGGCAATCGAATGAAAGTAGCGAAGAAGACGAATAAATGAATCTAGCAATGATCGAAGCGAAATGTCTGCGTGGTGCGCAATGAGCAGCCTCGGGACTCGACGATGGAGCGAGGTTCAAACTTGCATGCAAGATGCAGGAAAACAAACAGCAGGTGATGAATGATAGGGCCCGGACACCGACGTGCCAGCGCAATGTTGATAGGGCAGCCGTGCAGCAGAGCAGCATGCATACGCTCGCCTGGTCTGCAAACCGAATTTTTCATTCAAAAGGCATCGAATGAGCGCTGGCAACGAGTGAAGTGGATGAGTATAGACGGGGACGCGATTCTGTGCGGCAAACGAGGCGAATGGCGGCAGCCTTGTCTGTTCGCTTGACAGACGTTCACAACTGACATTCAGTGAGGCAATGCTATCTATGTCCAAAAGTACTCCGAATC